CCCCAAAACCCCAAAACCCCTCAAGTTTACTATTTAATTCGTAGGTTTAATTATAATTAATCACTCTTAACTTTGATCAATTTCAAGTAATGTCTCTATCAACTCATCGTTCTCATATCTACTTATTTCTATTTATCCACCATCTACTGGAATATACAGCTGTATTCCATGTTTATAACCATCCATCCACTATCCAACTTCAATATCTCCATTCTCACAAGTGAATACTCCGAACCCTTATGCCTCACCATTCACCCATTATCCAAAGTATTAACCACCATCACACCATTTATTCAATCCTAATCCTTCTTTATTATTATTAAGCCACTATCCCTCATAAATATCTCCATCTTCCTAATAATATTTCCCATATCCATTCATATTACCATCTTTCCACTCACCAATGTAATAGCCTCGATTATTAAATATATGTCTTCCATATCCATCGTGTTAGTCATTCTTCCACAATCCATCATAAACATTTCCATTACTCCAAATATGTCTACCTCTTCCATCAATCTATTCAGTTTCAGTATCATATTCACCTTGATATATATCACCATCATCAAGTTCAATAAGAGACATAAAGATTCAGTTTGGATTTTTATTAATCTTGTCAATTAAGCCATAATTAAAATCTCCAAGTTTTGCAATGAGTTCATTTACTAAAGCATCCGAAGGGAGAATTGTCAAAGCAAAAGCATCCTTACACAGATTATCTGATATACATTTTATATTATTATCAAATTTTGGTTTGTAAAACTCATTGTCAATACTCAAAGGCTTATCTTCTAATAAATCACTCTATAGTTTTATCTCTGAAAAAATTTCCAAAAGCTCATTTTAGCCAATCAATTTTCCCATAAAGTATAAAATCTTATAGAAATCTTAGATCAACCATTGCCTTCTGACTGAATTGGTTTTAAAAGCTTTTTACACTTCTTTTTCAATTGCTTTGATCTTTTGAGATTTAATTAGAGCGATTAACTGATCATATTGATTCAAGAAATTGCTAGGCTGAATGTAGTCTGATTACATATTTACTTCTTAAATTTTAAAAATATTGTTTGATATTTAATACTTGATTCTATTTTTCTAAATAATTCCATTGAGGGGTTTTGGGGTTTTGGGG